TATTACCGAGTTTGTGAAGGGTTATTTACACTAGCATGTACATGTTGGTTAAATATTTACAATTTATTGTAATAATAATTAAAATCGAATGATTTTCGACATTTGTTAAATATGCATTTATGTAAGTTTGATTTATTTCGTCAGAGATAACTTCTGGAATTTAAAAAATATAATATTTTTAGAAACCCCAGGGTTTTTGTTAAACCAAGATCTCTTTTTGAAAAATTATGAAATAAAACTTAGTAAATATGTTCGTATTAATATTTTTTCACTAAATAAATAGTATCCCAAGCAACAAATAAAATCAAACTATTACTTTAACTGTAAAACAAGCTTTAGGCAAACAAACACAATAAAAGTGACGACATGAAAAAGTCTAAATTAACTGTTTCAGCAGCCCATTATATCCGTCTGTTTACATTCGCCCATTTACAGAAAAATAATGGCGTTTACACACGACGTATGTAGGTGTATACACGTTTATAGAACCAAATACGTTCTTGGGTTCGTCCTAGGAGCATGTTGTTATGATGTTAGTCTTTTTAATTTGAGACTTGTTAATGTCATTACTTCGAAAAGAAAACACAGGCGCGTAATAAAACAGAAAAAAATTATAAACACCCAACTCGTGAGAAATATGCTGAGGCTTCGCTTGTTCAACTAACGTTTTACACAGTTTTGGCCTAGAATGCATGTGCGTTCACAAGGCGGGAAGTTTTTGTCGTTTTCCAGATTTCGAGCATGTTCTAGATTTTCCCAGGCGTACGATTTTTTGTAACTGCTAGTAGCTAGTTTTCACGCAAAAATTTACAAATAAGGTGTTTATTTAATTGAAAATACCAAATATTTAGTTCTACAAAATAATTAATGCAGCTAAAATGAGATAAAATATTTGCTGTACACAATTATTTGTTTATTGAAAAACATATTCGAGTGGTATACTTGCCTATGATATAATATTTATATCTATTTACTTTTTATTTATTTACTGTAAATTTACTAGTGAAAAAAAATATATTTTATGAAAAAAATTATGGGTTTACAAAAACGCGTATATTTTCGAAAAAATTGGTAAATATAAACATACAGAGCGTTGAAGTTGAAAAAGTAAAAACTATTTTCAAGCACATTTCGGAGATACGTTAAGGGATTTTTTTCTAATTTGATATGAGGAGTTTTAACGGGGACCTACATCATTTGCTGCGATTTCACGTCAGTACAAGAAAAAAACAGTGGCGTAACACGGAAATAAATAAAAATTTTCAAATTTCCAATGATTTTTGAGCAAAAAAGGTACTTGTTGAACATCGAGAGGCAGCGTATTTGAAAAAAACTGCGTACGTCGAACATGTCTTCAGTCAAATGGAGGGCATGTGCGCATTATTCGCTAATTTTAAGTTAATAGATCCCTTCAATAACGCCATCAACGCACGCCTGTGGAGTGTCAGTCACTCGCTGCTCCACATGTTTATTATTTCAAAGCGGAGACTATTCCCTAAAGGGCCGTTAATTTTTTGGTAGCTGCCGGGTGGTGAAAAACACAAAACTTTACGTCTGTCTCCTCGAGTGGTTCTTAGAGCAACCTGCCCTAATGAGACACTCCAAAAAAATTAAACGCACTCGTAACGGAGCCTTTTTGTGTTCCCTAATGGTTTCCATTTAATAGAACGGAGAAAAAGCCCACTCGAACGCCCTGATTCATCAGGGCGCTACTTAGGCGGGCGCTTGAGTTGTCACTGTAAGAAATTATAAAATATTGGCCTTGTACTTTTGAAACAGTAAATGCTTTCACTTTATTGCTCGTGTTTCGAATAATAACACTGGAAATCGGGTATTCCCGCATATTTTCTATTAAAAACCAGAGGAAAACAGAAAAGCTTTATTTCAATATGTAGGTATATTTAAAAACAGTAGAAAAAAATAAGATTCTATTCATCAAAGGATAAAGTATAGAAAGTTTAAGCAAAAATCTTTAGTGTGTAATTAATTTATAAATATTAGCTTTAGACCAGGGCGGATCTCTTTTGAGGTGGATGTGAGAGGGGGCAAGCAAATTTTTTCCGGATAACCTTGCAACTCACATATAAAAGTGTAGATCCCTAGATCTGGGCGAGGTCCGGAACATTTTCAAAATTGCAAAAATATTAAAAAATACCAATTTTATCTGAGTTTTTTACATATCTTGTATCCTATTCATTTTGGAAGAATATTGAAGAGGAAAGTTTTAGAATTGAATTTTGCACAATATACTGTAAGTTAAAAATGTTTAAATTTATTACCGATGTTGTAAAATATTGATGAAAAAAAGGCAAAATAAAGTTTTTTTGATAATTTTTTTAAAAATATTTTAATTGCTCCGAGGGCATTCTAATTTTGGTAAAAAAAAACTTTAGAGTATAATAAAAAAACACACCAAATTTCATTAAAATTGGTTCTATAGTTTTCGCAAAATAATTTTTTCAAATAAATTTTGAAAAAAAATTTTGAATTTTCAAAATGTTGCACAGCTCAAATAAAGCATAGATACTTGTAAAAACTCAGATACAAATTTTTAAACATTTTTGCAATTTTGAAAACCTTGCGTAGTCTGTATGAATTCATTCTACTTTCAATCCGATAACAGAAAATGTACAGCTATTACAGTATTTATCCCGGTAAAAATGTATCGACGCGTCGAATATTTGCTAACGAGAATGAATTTGATGAATTTCGATAATTGAAAACCGTACGGTCCTGTAATACATTTCTCCATCGAAATAATGGTGTTTGAAATGTAGGCTACGATCTGCGATATGGTTTATGGGCATATAAATATAGCCGTATTATTTTCAAATGAATCAGTTGCCAAATGTGCACCACGTTACTTAATTTACATTGGATTTGGCCGTTTTCAGGAAGGAAAGGGCTGTTACATGAAATAATTATCAGTTGTGGTTAGTGGTAGGATCAAATTTTTTTAGTATGCAGTGTGTTACGATTATTATGGCATAAGGCATAAAAACAATGTCGTGTCAAATTTTTCTACAAAATTAACTGAAAATCTGACAAAATCTGCAAGCAGTAGGTTGCACAATTATAAAAATAATCAGAATTTAAATGTCATATATTGATAATTTTAAACAATATTAGATAAAAGTTTGTAATTTTTATGAGCAGTTTTGCCAGATTCACCCAATAAATTGACAGATATAAGCAGCGTTAACAACTAGAATATACAGGGTGATTCACAACACATCCAAAAATAATTGGGAATAGATGTGTCATGAATAATGGAGTCAATATCGTTAAAACAATTTTTGCAAAATCCTTATAGTTTCCGAGAAAAAAGAGAAAAATATTGAAGTTTTAGTATTTACAATCTTCACATCGCTGGGCTAGTGAAGTTTCTAGCGTCATTCGCGTTGTTCGCTCTCTCTCTTTCTCTTTCTCTCTACCTCGCCCCAGGCCATTCCGAATACTGAAATTCGATTTTAGTATTAACGTTTTTGCGATAGTGTTTACAATTCAGTTTTTCAAGTGTCAAAATAGCTTTATCACACGGATTAAAATCTGGCGATCGGACTGGTCATCCAACTGGACCGTTTCTACCAATCCACCGTCCAGGAAAGTACTGACTTAACCAATCTCTAATAATTAGGGCATTGTGACAAGAAGTACCTTCATGGAAATACCACATCTTTCCATGAATTTTCAATGGAACATCATCCAGTAAATCATTTAGCACGCTACTTAAAAGTTACAAATACCTTCGATTATGTAACCAATCTGGTATAACAGTCATTTGTTTACTATTACAGTCCAAAATTTATTGAAAATCTTCGCAGTACCCAATTACAAAAATGCTGTCGATAAGGTTACAAAAACTACAACTTTTTTTAAAATCCTCCAAACTTTTTTATACATTGTTCTGTAAAGTCAGTTCACGAGATTTTTCAAAAGTGTATTTTCAATGTTGGCAGTACGATTAGGTTGTTGTCAATTCAGTTTTAAACAATCCGTGATCCCGAAGTTTCCGAACGACATGGTTCGTCTATTTAGTATAAAACGATGTGAGAAATGATGCATATAATTAAATACACAAGATGTGCAAAGTAGTTTTTAAAAACGATTTATTTACTAGCTAATAGAGTACACGTTCTCTAGCCAAAACTAATAAGAACTGAACTAGAGTTACAAGCTGGTGGTTGCTTAAATATAAAGTCTTATCTAAATTATTTACATTAAGGGAAACTTTCCCCAGTGACGTAGGTCACGTATCGTTCTAAATAATTGAGTCATTTTAGTAGACACATTATCATAATATGTCTGGACATAATTATATAAATCCTATGAGCCTTAGAAGAGTTCCCATGGGCTTCACCATAAGCGAACATCATATCAACGCATTCTTTATTTGTAAAACATCATGATGCACAATCACAATTGTTAATACCTTGTCGTATTTCTTACACTTGACACTTTTGTCTATGCTTGACACGGAGTCTAATAAAAAAAACTTGCATAAAACCATTGGCATAGATATTAATTTAATCCATAGACAGTCCATTAGTGTTATTTTGATGTGTAAAAACTATTGGACAAACATGTAAGATTTCGAAAGACATTATTAGACAAAAAATGTCGTAGCATGTGGCTAAATTTCAAGAAAGTATTTGCGTATCCCATTTAATAATTAACTTTTATTCGTAAAAATGTATCTGAATTGAAACAATTGAAAAGTTTGCTAAGTTTAGACGTTAAATTACAGCATCTCTGCAATTAAGATAATTTTACATAGACGGGAATAATTACTATTTAAATAAACAGCAGGAAGTACAACTTTTGATCGCTTACTCATATGATAATAAAAATAATTTAAACGACATGCAGAACCTCATGTTATGAATATAAAACCATCTCTCTCTTAACGGGACAAACTCTATTACTCATTTTTCCCAAAACCGTTTTATATTTAGACCGCAATTGACTGTCCTAAATTCTAATTGCACTTTTTTTTCCAGACATGGTTTTTTACCGACACGGATGATCCAGAGTATCAAATGAGGACTAGTAAGTATTAAAATAACCATATTTCATTTGACAGATTACGATACACTTTATTTTCAGTCAGTACTATATTTGAATTCAATCTAAAAATAGTAGTTCATTTGTAATTCATCGTGAACTGTTTGCAAACAGATGCAGTGTGCGTTGGAATCCGATGACTGATGATAGTGATGACTAAAACAAAAAAAAAGAAATAAATAGTAATTCAGATGACTCTTTCCTTCAGAAACTGTATAAAAAATACATTTTATTAATTAGAACATGACAGACAGACATCGAACTTTCAGCAACTTCTTCGGAAGATTCGAATGTGTTATTTCTCAAGCAAAGTAATACCCAGAAGCTAACACAGACAAATTAAATGCTTATGGGCTATGGCAGGTCTTAATCTACTATTGTCCTGTCTATCCTTTTCTATTAACGATTTTTTATGTAACATACATGAATGTAACACTCGTATCTACCTTATTTGTTAATGGATCACGTACAACCTTCAACGTTCGTCGTAGTACCATGAACCTAACCTAAAATTGAAATTCTAGAGGCAGATTTGGAATGTGTCTATGAAGAATTTATAAAGTTGTGTATTGTCTGTATCCTTTAAAATGCACATTGTCATATGTAATACTAGAATTACAAATTTAACAAAGCAAAATTTACGTGAAGGGAAAATCATGATGAAGCATCTGAAGTGAAATATGTATGAGATGCAGATAGTGGTAAAGTTCAATTTATTTTTACATTAAAGATTTTATAAAAACTTCGAAATACCTGAAAATCCACCAAATACCTTCAAAACTAAATAAGCATTAGTAGTCATTCATCTCGAAAATCCAATGGAAGTGGAAGGTTAGAGACATCAAGAAGTGAAATGCAATCACTTTGAGGAAAAGGTCAATGACCTTGACTTAAAAGGTTAATGCCCTTGACGTAGAAGGTCAATGGCCTTGGAGGGTCAAAGATCAATGGCCCATGGGAATGAAAAGTCAATGACCTTTGTTCAGTCAAAGATCAGTGACTCCAGGTATCGAAATTCATGTTTCGGTGTTAAAATTAGTTTTTAAGTAATTCGAAGCATCTTCGGCGTTTGAAATGACTTCTTATTTAAATTTACAATTTAGAAGCAACGTAAATAATGGAAAATTAGAAAAAATCGCAAAATCAATAGCCTCAGGAGGTCGAAGGTCAATGTCCTATAAAAATTAAAAACTAATCCGGTCAATCTCCGGGTAATCGAAGATCAGTGACCTTGAGCGGTCAAAAGTCAATGGCCTAGGTATGTCAAGGGTCAATTGCATCTGGGAGACAAATGGCGCCAGTAGAGTCGAAGGTCATCAAGATTGAGGATCAAAATCCCGGAAAGTCAAAGCTTAATGACCCCCGCGGTCAATGATTTATGACTTTGGAGAGTAAAGGTCAATGACACTGGGGTCATGTTTCGACGAATTTGGTGGTATTAAAGTATCCGAAGTTTTCGATGCATTTCTAATGCTATTTTGTAGTATTTTACCATTTTTAACGTATTTAGTTAATGTATTTCACTTAAATCTGAAGAATTTTTATTATTCTGAAGTTACTTTGACGTATTTTGTTGTATTTTAAAAGCTTCTTGATCGATTTTAATACCTTCTTATTCTTTTCCGGCATATTTTCACAAATTCTACATCTGTTCTGACATTTTTTAAAGATTCGAAAAAAATATTACATAGACATAATAGCAAAGTTTACTTTATTTTGTAGTAAAGATTTTGCAGAAATGACTTTCTGTTTTGTGTTTCTGACTAAATGCAGCAAAATGTGGGCTGTTGAATTTCAAAAATTACTTGAAACATAATCCCCAAAAAAAAGAAGAAAACACAAAGGAAAAGCCGATCGCGATCATTTAATTTTCAAAGTTGTCTTTCTTACCTCAACACTGTTCTTCACTGAAATATTTTATCAAATAACACAAACTTAGTTAGTTACAACGAATAGCAAAATTACTGAATTTTGTAAATTCACAATTAAAGCTGCTGCAATCATCATCATCATTTACAAACATTATAAACTGATTGCTTCATTGAAATGTAGATATTTAATGACATGACATTTAATTCAAAACTTCGAATATTTATAATATAATTTTTCATTTGCAGTGTAGATAAATAATGACTAGATTTAACATAGTATTGTCAGTATCTTCAGTAGTCTTCTTAAGTTACTATAAACTAACTATTGAATATTATGTGTGATGGGGTAAATCGTTTCGGTTATTATCCTATCCTATACTATCATCAGGGAAAAATGTCAAGATGTCAATCACTGGAAAAGAATTGCCTGCATGAATATATCAATAATGTATTTGAATACATTGAGAGCAGATAATAACTATGACTGATATTCTACATGTGCTGAATATTATGTTGAAATCTGAGTCATCTAAAATTTCTCCTATCGTTCACAAATAAAAATATCACCTGCCAAACAGTCAACGCGAATAGAAAAAGCGCGGGCACTAACTTGCCATAGAGCTCCGTTGTTGGTAATAAATTCAACCCGAGAGATCTCGCTTGTAATTAGCATTTCGCTTTACACCTGCCTTCCGAGTCCCTCTTGTTTTAATTAGAAGAACCAGAAAGTAAAATTCCCAAGACGCACAATGTAGGAGATCTCTAATCGGACCATTTCCTGCAGTTGCTATCTTGGGTGGAACGAAAGTATCCGCCAATATTATACAGCTGCGTGTCTGCCTCCATGCTTCAGTTGTTACGCTTATTGTTGTACAGGGCGTCCCCCTTTCTTCCTATTATAAAATTAATTTTAGTTAAATTAATCAAGGTGATCTTTACTTTAAATTAATTTTTTAAATATCGAAACTGAAATACTGTGGCTTTCAATCTGTACCGCATTCATCTCAAGCGGTTTATCCTTTCGAATGTTATCAGCACAAAGACTGTTCCATGTTTGAGTGGCCAATGATTCTTCACTAAACTGTCTTCTAGTTTTTTTTTAATTTCAGGCATTTTTTTCATAAAAGTATAACAATGAGAGTTGTTTCACTGTTTTTCTACTCCATCCGTGCTTGTTAAATCTACTGGACTACTTTAGACTGATCAAGCGAACCTAGTTGATACTTACACCTTGTATCTTAGAATGCATAAGTAATATTTATTTCTCCCAGGTCTACCGTCTTATGCGGCATCCCGAGAATGCACGATTTAGGTTTTATTTATATTAATTTTTAGATTTTAGCCCTTAGTGCTGCACACCTGTTCGCCTGGGAATGGAGGAATGTTTTATTTTATTTTTTATTCATAAAATACGTCCGTGTTGTAAATTAAATGGATTCGCGACGATAGCGGATGGAGTAATGATGCGTTACGTGTATTATGTTTTATTTCATCACTAAACGGGTCGCTATTTCCGCCTTCCAACGTAAAAAATATCCATAGAAAGTCGATATCTATGATGTTATTTATGATACTGGTATCATTAGTTAAAAAAGCGAAGCCTGGTTTTAACTGATTAGTTTCCTTACCTTACGCAGTCACGTCCATTTTATTATAAAAAAAAAATGTAGACTCTGACGTTAGAATCTGATTTTTTACTTTTTTCGAAGTTACTTGAAATGAATAAAAATCGAATCACTCTTTTTTACCATGAAAGTACAACACTTAAGGAAAAAAAGAGCCCTGATTCGTTTCTCTAAGACTATTCATCAAGCAAGAAGAGCCGATTTTCGAGATGACCTTTTTTTCGAAAAATCGATATAACTCGAAAAATTTTTCATATTTTTTAATATAAAAAAGAGGTACTTTTTTACTTGCCGAGGGCTACATTTACAGCAAGTAACAAGTTTCAAAACCTTAATTTGCCAGAGATACAGCAAAAACAAAACAAGTCTATTTTTGTCGGTTTTTTCGATATATCTCGGAAAAGTAATATAGCAATCGATATACAGGGAGGCCAAATGAAAACGGAACAGAGCCATTTTCAGGAACTGCGTCCAGATCGTAGAAAAACGCTCAGATCCGTTGATTTTAGATTAAAGGGGGACATTCTTTGCTGGTATTTTTGACTATGCCACTTTCACCCCCCAAGGAAGGGTAAGCATCACCTCAAAATATTTAAATGGCATTGGGGGTTGAGTAATATTTCTTTTTAAAGCTCTTACAATTCTCTTTACAACAGACTTTAAATTTTATAATTCCGTCCAATACTTAGGTAGGATTAAGAATTTTGATTTTAAAGTTGAAACTTATGTACAAACAATTAGTAACGGTAAAAATGTCAGTCATTCGAGATAAGTATGCGAATGGTATAAATTTAGTATTTCTTGCGTTATATTGTTTTTTGGCGATTTGTTATCACTTTCGTAAAAAACACAATTTTAAAAAACAGAAATGAATACTATACACACACAATGAACGTAAAATTAGTGGATTCCAAATTATTTTCTAGTATTATTTGGAAGCATTGGTTGGTAGTTTATTTGTGTTTTTGAAAATTAAACACCATGGTTTATTGCATTGCGGAAAGGGTAGATATCATTTCTCTTTACTTTATGAACAATAAATGTGCGAATAGAACAACTCAGCTATTTAATGAACAACATCAAGATCGACATGTCAGGAGGAAGTATGTTCTAGAGTTAGTAAAAAAAATTTAAGAGACAGGTAACGTAGCCAATAAAAAACGAGAAAATGAAAAACCTATAGTTAAGTTGCAGTTTTGGGACAAGTTCATCTTGATCCTACATTAAGTACGAGGCAGCTGGCATCTGTGTCTGGGATCAATCAAACTAGCATACAAACCATTTTGAAGAAGAATAAATTCCGTCTATACAAAATACATTTAGTCCAGGAACTTCATGAGGATGATTATGACCGCCGTTTGCAATTTTGCGAAATAATGAGTGGGCGAGCAGGGAACGATCCACAATTCCTTTTTAACATCTGTTTTTCTGATGAATGCAGTTTTTTCTTGAACTGGACGGTAAATCGTCACAATTGCCGCTATTGGTTCGATTAAAAAAAAAAGAGTTTTTCACGAGGTGCATACACAGTAACCGGAAAAATTAAATGTATGGGCTGGAATTTTCGGTGACCAGCTGATGAGTCCTTTTTTCCTACCTGGTAATTTGACTGGCCAAATGTATTTGCAATTACTGGAAGACGCTATTGACCCTGCCTTGACTGATATTATTGAAAATGTTCCAGAGTATGATGAAGATCATTTGATTTTTCAACAGGACGGTGCTCCCCCGCGTTATGCGTTAATTGTCCATCATTATTTGGACCAACGTTTTCTACGGAATTGGATTGGGAGAAGAGGCAGCATTGAGTGGCCTCCACGATCACCGGATTTATCGCCCCCTGATTTCTTTTTGTGGGGATACCTAAAAAGTAAAATCTATAAAACACAGACTGCGTCGCTGGAAGATTTGCGTCAAAGAATCTTCGACGAATGCCGTCGAATCATTCAAGAAATGCTTCGGAATGTGCGCGAACGTTTCGAACAAAATCTGTATTTTTGTATGGAAGCGGGCGGTCATCAGTTTGAACATTTAATCAACTAAGTAGTAAGTACATATACTCGTAAGTAACTAAACATAATTTAAATTTTAAAATGTAAATTTTTCAAAGTACATACTAGGCGGAATTATAAAATTTAAAGTCTGTTGTAAAGAAATTGTAAGAACTTTCAAAAAAATATTACTTAACCCCCAATGCCATTTAAATTTTTTGGGGTGATGCTTACCCTTACTTGGGGGTGGAAGTGGCGGAGTAAAAAATACCAGCAAAGAATGTCCCCCTTTAATCTAAAATCGACGGGTCTGAGCGTTTTTCTACAATCTTGACGCAGTTCCTGAAAATTGCTCTGTTTCGTTTTCATTGGGCCACCCAGTATTTAAAAATACTAATCGAAAAGTTTTTTAACTTGCTCATTTAACTTTTTCGATTAGAGTTTATTAGCAAAAAACCGTTTTTTTTACTTTTAAGAATTTTTAATTTTAATTTTAATATTTAATAGAATTTTAGAATACATTGTGTTTTAATCTTTTAGATTTGCTAGAATTTAGTATCTCTTCTTTAAGCATTTTTATCGTAAATATTTTAGGTAAATCTCATAAAAAATGACAAAAAAATCAATCATATTTGCCACACAAAACATTTCAAGAAATGCACACCAAGCGATTTTTTAACGAAAACTTTCACGCAATGTGGCACCGACATTGTCGGTACAGCGCTGCATAGAGAACACGACAAATATGTTGTAAAAACTAACCTAAGGTCATTGTCACATAAGTAATATCTCATTACCCCTTTAATGAGAAAAAAGTGTTTTATATATAGCCGCACATGTACTAACAATTTTTAAGACGAGCATATCCTGTCTATGTCAATGGAATAATTAATATTTTTTTCCCTTTGCAGATGGTCACATGATCAACACTAACTGTTCCTCTTCTCACAACAGAAAGGCCCTGTGCTGTAAAATGTCTGCCGAGTTCGACAAGTTTCTAGAGAGCGAGAAAAAGTAAGTTTTATTTTTTTCGTTTTTTTAATTTCAAACAAATAAATATAGTCAGGTCATATAACACTGCTGATCCTCAAAAATTAAATTTTACCTCTATAAAAATAAATAAAGAAGAGAGAAATAGAAACGCAAGTCTGTGATAGTAATTGCAAAGAATTTTAACAATAGTGCGAAAAAGACTGAGCAGTAAATATGGTATATAGGTTGGTAGATATATTGAGTTCAAGTGCATTTAACACATATTGTCCAAAAAATATCTAAAGTAAAGAGATAACTAAGGAAATAAATAGTATTTATAGTAAAAATACACATTAAAAACAATTTATTAGGTTATTGAAATATTCCTGTAGAGTGTGGTAGTCTTTCAATTTAAAATGATTTCAATCTTATTTTAGGACTTTTGAGCGGTAAAGCACTAGTACTATTGGATAACTTACTACATACATATAAGGTATATTTCTCTGAAAATATGTAGATAAATAAGCATATTTCTTTCCTTGCATAGCATGTATATTGTGTCTGGTAGTTTTTAAACAATGAATTATTTTTTATTATCTCCTTTATTATCAGCTATAAATTGTTATTATAGACCATGTACAGCTGTGGTCCTAATATTGAGCCTTGAGGTATGCCATTTTGTATGTAACCTGAGGAGTTATTTCTTTAATTATCTATCTACCATTATGACCAGTATCATAACGAGTCTGGATTTCAAAAGAGTTTACTATTTAATTATCGAAAGGGAGCGTGGGTTCGAACCCCACATCTGACACCATTTGTAACCTGAGGGGTTATTTCTTTAATTATCTATCTACCATTATGACCAGTATCATAACAAGTCTGGATTTCAAAAGAGTTTACTATTTAATTCTCGAAAAGGAGTTTATAATTATCATTATACTTTAATTAATAGGTACGTGGGAACTTACAAATGTTGTACGTTCAGAGAATGAATTGCAGACACTTATCGTACGTCTCTCATGTACCAGGTAATCTAGTGGTTGGTGGTATAGGGTGACACTTAAGTTAGAAGAACAAGACAACACCATATCTTTCCAGGAACGATTTTAATAACAATAAAAAATAAAACAAACAAACAAAATAATGGCACAACGGACTCAAACAACATTATTAATTAATTTACACGCGACAGCGTACCGAGATTCAGGGAATGCGCGATTCATAGCAAAATTTGGAATGACTTTATCCATTATTAAATTATCCCGAGACTATAAAACTAAGTAGACCGCCCAATGTGGAACCCAAAAAAAAACTACCTTTTTTTCGTAGATCTCTCCTGAATTCGACACGCCCATTTCTTGGGTCCAGACGTTCCTGTACTTATCTTACTGGCGGGAACCCTGAATATCGGGACACTTTGGCATAACTATGCCATGTTAATAGTTATCTAAATAATTTTGAGACTAAACTTACAAATAACCCTAGCCTTCCTCTAGTGACTCCGTGTAGCAATACGGGACGGATTAGTCCATCTCATTATAACTTGGAAAATCCGCCTAAAAACCAGCTATTTGACCTATTATTATTTTCCTGACAACATTCTAACAACTTATTTAAATATATTGGAATTCCTACATGTTCTTTCGAATGCATATCGCGCGTTATTAGAAATATCGATTTTTCTTTTTATTCCAGATGCTCAACACATGGCCCCGACAGTCTAAATGAACTTGTTAAAAATATTGCTAAATTTCTCCGAAGGACGACGCTAAACCTACTTGAGAGCCCTTAACTTTCGATAATTAGTGTTGACTGAAATATTTTACTTTTTGGCCCATCCGTTCCAAGAACTAATAAATAAATTACCAGGCGTCCCGGCTTTTGTTACATGTATTAGCAGTTTATCTGATTGTATCAATTTTTCCTATTCGTCTACTCCTGTAACACATTCGATTGTGAAGATATGATGTAATTCACGATCGAATGCATAGTTCTAAGGAAACATCCAGTGTTTTATGCTTGTTCATTGCTTCATTATTCTAGACAAGCCTTGATAAACTTGCGCTAACAGTTAGTTTGTATTTTTTAATAAGAGGCTGATATTCGTCAGTATTTTGATATTTTCACCTTTCTTTGCGTTGTATATTGTTTAAAAATTATAATTTATGTCAACTAACGACTCGAAAGCGACCGACCTTAAAAAATGATTGAAGGAAATGACTAATGCAATTCTATACGTATTAAGTTATACAAATATAAAAAGTATGTATTGTACTTACTTAGTAGCATTTTCTCCCGGTTAGAAAGGCTTATTCGGCGATTCAATTCATAATGCTACAAAGACGTTTTATATAGAATTGAGGACATAAACTGGCATTAAAATGTGGAGGCACGTAGTCCTGTTATTAATCTGACATGGGATGAATGCGTCTGGAATGGGAATTATATGCATGTCAATGTATTTCACGAAGTTTGGAAAACTTGACGCTGTAATTTGGGGAGTAGTGCCTTATTTGGCTTCAATGGGACATTGAAAGTAGACGGCAATTATTGAAAATGAAGACGACAGCTGAACACTTTCATATTCGTTTCAGGCCTTTTGGGTATTTATTTTTAGCGTAAGGGGGTGTGCAATTTGCTTCAGATTTTGTAATAATTAATTGTTAAAATATTGAAAATTGGTTGTAGTTATTGTCTGTAGTTTTCTCTTTGTTTATTGGCATTTTGCCGCTTGTAAAAAATTAAAAATGAATGAAACAAACCCTTGAATCAAAAGCGTTGTTTTTATGAAGTCTTGCCCAAACGATAAATAAATCAATAAATAAATTAATCAGTTATTGCAAAAAAGCGCTAAAGATCGCGATTTTTTCAAATAGCTGCATCTCTTTCAAAAATTTTTTATGAAACTTGGTGAAAGGATAGCTTTTGGTGAGCAAAATAAAATGATTTTTTCAAAATTGAAAAATACTTTATAGTTTTTGTAAAATCGAGTTTTTCGAAAAAAAAGCGTTTCTGTAAAATCCCCATAATTCATAAGCCGCCACATCTTTAGGAACGGGGTTGGGCTTAAAATTTTCTTTAATAATTGCACTATTATGTGCAAATATTGCGCTAGCCTCAAATCGATTTCAAATATCGCAAAAATCGTTTTTTTCTCGGGGACATCAAACTTTGATTAACTTTTTGATTTCAATTCGTATCAAAATGTCGATACTGCCATTCGAAAGTTGACATTTTTTCACGAATTTAAAAAAAAGTCTGTCCTACGACCAACAGGGGTCGAGAAATTTTTTTTTTTTTCGAAAAATCGCCACAGCCTCATTTATTAATATTAAGGGCTGAAATTTACACATGTTATAGACGAATACTTGTACTTCAATATAAAAAATAGTCCGCAACAATTGGTCCCATTTTCTTTCATTAAACTTCAATTTTATGGGCCCCATATATTGCTTGCTTGATCAATTAGTAACATTTGTGCTTCATTTGAATACGCTCTGTACACGTATAATACAATATAAATATATACTCTGACAATTATTGCTTAAAATATGCAGTTTTTAGTCATTTATTCAGACATTTTAAGATCTATTTATAAAAGTTCTCGAATCCAGCAATTTCAGGATGGGAATACATCGAAAGTTTCAAGATGCGGGTTAACAAATTGAATTATCAATTAAAGTAATTGTTTTGGTAACAACTGGTCTTCAGATTTCAGTGATTTAACCCATTAAAGTCGCAAAATTTGTCGTATATTGTTAACTGACGCCAAAGCCGTTACATGTAAAAGGCTTAAGGTTTGTCATGCTTCAATAGTTAACTAATTAAACTGCTAACTGAAAAAAATATATAAATATACTAAACAATCTCACATCCCATTCAGTTTTGTCTAGCCTTTGCTCATAATGAAAGTCTGAAGTATGCTTATTGGGATAGGAAGAGCTAGTTAATCAAATCTTAAGTTCTATTGATTAGAATTTGCGATTCAAAACTGGCTTGTAAATATAGATCAGACAGTGAAAATGTGAATTTATTTCGTACCTATTTGTAAAAGGACTGTAAAGAAGCCGCTAGTGAGTAACTGTAAAAAAATAATTGCTGTGTGAACGATAGAGGCTGTAAAATATTGTTTGTTTCCTACAAAATCACGTGGGTGTGCATAATTTTCACACCCAATTAAACATAAAGCGGGTATTAGGAAAGAAGTAAGTACTACTTATACATGTATGTCATACTTACTGCATACATATTTTTTTGTTTTTTTGTTTACATATTCGCATTGGTTGTCTACCCGCAACAAAATTCTGACGCGGTTGCTAATTTCAAAGATACAAATAATTTGCATTTGCGAATACGAGTATACGAAACATTAATAGATATTTTTGATTTGGGTACTTTGACAACTCAAAAGCCATGTTCAATGGTTTTAACAACTACGGAAAAGTAGGAGGGAAAAAATTTAAATCGATCTCGTAGGTATTAGGTTATTTATTAAACTTTTAACATTTGAATTCTAAAGATATCAAACCATTGCAACAGACGAAGAAAATGCGCACAAAACTTGATGAATCACTGATGAACGCTCGTTTAAAATTTACCAACTCCGCCAGAACCCTGGTCTGGAAGTCCCAAAAATACACTTTATATTCATGGCATTAATATACCGTAAGGATTCCAGTTCCACGTAAAAAAAGACCACGAACCCGACGCAATAATTCGAGAATTTAAATTAAAAGAACTCGAAACGTTTTAGCATTTTTATGTTACAACTTCACCTACCGTTTACACCTGCTACTTGGTCTTAATATATCCGGCCTCAAGGTCAACCTGAAAACGAACTGAATGATGCCAAGACGTAATAACAGGATAATAATATACAGTATGAAAGCTCTGAAGAGAAAAAAAGGGAAGGTTAGGACGAAAATAAACTGCTAATAATGTTTCGCTGTGCATGTTGAAAGGTAATTAGATTTAAACTAAAGATTAATTTGGCGTCAACATTTACTTTTATTTTCAGTGACATCAAAATAACGAAGTAG